AAGTCCACAAGTCTTAAAACTTGCCAAGTTTGGAGACCCTTGTGTTATGCCATCATAAAAAAACAAAGGACTACCCCAAAGTATAGGAGAGGGTGGTTGATCTTGTAAGATTTTTACCCAAGCTCACACGATTTGGGCGTTCTACAGCAGGCCATTTCCAGGCTAGAAGTTGTGAAGTTTCAACTAACAAGAGACAGGAAATCCTTGTTTTCACCAAGAGCAATTCAGAGGTGCAAATTACAGGGAGTCCTCGACTTACAACCATTCATTTAATGACCGAAGTTGAAATGACACGAAAAAAAAGTGACTTATGATCATTTTTTTCGCCCTTATGACCGTTGCAGCATCCTTATGGCCACACGATCAAAAGTCAGGTGCTTGGCAACTGACATGAACTTATGACTGGGATCATGCAGTATCCTGGGATCATATGACCATCATTTGTAACCTTCCCAGCTGGCTTCTGATTCATTTAACGACTTCACGGTTCGCTTCACAGCTGCATCAATTCGCTTAACAACCGGGGCAAGAATGGTCGTAAAATGGGAATAAAACTCACTTAACAACTCCCTTGCTTAGAAATTTGGAGCTTAATTGTGGTCGCAAGTTGAGGAGTGCCTATATATACTTAGGAAGAAATTAGGATATATTGTTGGCTAAAGAAAATCAGATGGAAAATATATTTGTGCAAAAATGAGAAGTTAGAGAAAAGGAGACGCACAGAAAATAAAATATATGTGAGATATGCTATGAGAAACAAATTACCCAGAGAAGTCCATGTGAGATTTACTAAGAAAGCAATTAAAACAGAAATATTACAGAAAGAAAATAAAATATATGTAACCATATTGGAAAGGGGATTTAATAGTTAAGATGAAATTTTGAATGATTAATGAAATATGAATAGATTAAACTATAAACATGTTGACTATAAGTCTATGATCAAGGAAGATAGAGATGGATTGACTGATATAAAACAATTTATGAGACTATAAAGAAGAAAATTTGGTAACCAATAACGATGTGATGTTAGAAAGCTGTATTAGTGATTATGGATATGACTGATTTAAAATGTAAAACATCTGGAACCACACTGTTCTCGCAAAGTTGTATTTAAATAATTAAAAATAAAAAAAATTTTTTTTTTTTTTAAAAAAAGGACTCCCATCTGTCAGAAATGGTGTAGGGTCTCCTGCTTGGGCAGGGGGTTGGACTAGATGACCTACAAGGTCCCTTCCAACTCTGATTATCTGTTTAATCAGAGGGGAAACAAATTTGCTTAAACTTATTAAAACAGCCACCCAGCAAAGCTGGTCTGTAATTCCAATTTTTTTTTATGGATCCCAACAGAATTCTTCCTGATCAGGCCAGCCCAGTTTGCAATTTTTGTTGGAAAAGAAAAGCAGCTTTTTTTTTTTAATTTTTAAAACTAATGTCTTAATTCACTTCTCTCTGTAGGAAAGAGGCCATTAAAAGGGACCTACTCTTGGATCACCGTAGCTGAGTCAGCCCACGCCTCCAGAGCTTCCTTGACATTTTTGTTACGGCAGTGGTAGCTGGCCAGGTAGATGTACGGGTAAATGTGCTCGTTGTTGTAATATTGCTTGGCTGAGTTGATCCCCTAGCAGGAGACAAGAGGGGGAGGGGTTACAAAGGGGTAAAAATTCAGATTATCTGCATGGGGTCCTTGGATCTCCATGGAGGAATTCCCGATCTCAGAATTTCCCAAAGCACCAGAAGGCAATTCAAGAAGCAATGGATGGAAACTAATCGAGGAGAGAAGCGACCTGGAACTAAGGAGAAATTTCCTAAGAATGAGGACAATCACTCTGCTATCACTCTAAACATATAGTTCCCTCCACACGGTCCAACTATTTACTAAATCTGCATTACTATTACTATTGATCCTCCCAGCCTTCCTTTCACCCCTCCCCTCCCACTTACGACTGTATGTCTGTAACCTTGTTGCTTGTATCCTAACGATTTTTATTGACTGTTTCCTAGTATGATTTGATTGCTTATTTTTGCCCTATGACTATTATTAAGTGTTGCACCTGATGATTCTTGATGAATGTATTTTATTTTTTCTTTATGTACACCGAGAACATTTGCACCAAAGACAAATTCCTTATGTGTCCAATCACACTTGGCCAATAAAAGAATTCTCTTCTCTTC